AGGTGGGAAACACAGACATTGGATGAGTCATTACAGAAGAGGAGAGTTCTCAGATAGGAAGGGATGTGATGGTTGGATGGAAGATTGGTCTGTTCCTGGAGTGGAATAGAGTCGTCGGACGGAGCTGCCCTGGGAGAATGCCATGCAAGTGATCCCAAGAGGGTGAGCCCAGAGCCCAGTGGACACCTGGTAACAGCCCTGGCCAGGGTTTCTGGACACTCTGTACAAGCCTTTTGCCTTTGCGCTAGCCTCTTTTACGTATGCTCTGTGTCTCCAGGGTAAGGTTCAGTGGGTAGATGAGAAGAAAGATCATAAAAAGCAGGCAGCAAGCTTCTTGGGGGCATCTGAAGCCCTTTTCAAAGCAAGCCTAGCTGCGGGAGGATGAGAGCCCATTAGAAGGGCTGGAGGACCAGGGTTCGAGGGACCAGTGATTACCACGAGACCCAGAGCAAGCCCTTTCCAGGTCTGGGGCCAGACCTGTCCATCTGTGCATGCCCAGCACACCTCACAGGCTCTGCACACTTTTGGTGTCTGTTTCCACACGCTCATGGCCTTGAGGCGGGCTTATGCTAATTAGATGTAGATTGTGTGCAGGATTGCCCGGTAGCTTTCATCCTGTCACATGGGGATGTGTCCCCTGGGATCAACTTCCAGCACCACGCAGCTGGTGCAGACTGCAGATAGCCTCTCTCTCTTTCCTTCAGTACATCTCTGTCTTCCTGGACAACTATGGGGAGGGACAGGCTGGGCGTGGGGGTTTGCCCATGTCCTCTAGGGAACACCGTTCCGTGTCCTCTATGGAGATACACAGAGCAGAGGGGACCTGAGCACGCGAGCATTAGTAATGACACAGGGCATCCAACATTCAAATCAACACTTGTACTGAGCTCCTTCTGCTTACAAGGAACCATTCTAGCAGTGAACAAAAGAGCTCTTCAATTGTAGGGGTAGGGGGATCATTTAATCCCAGCCTTTCCTTTTTCCAAGAAGGGAAAGGCGGCCTGGCAGCAAGAAGGGGTGGTGTGACTTGTTCCAGGCAAGGTCATCCAGATCTCTGGTTCCAGAACCCTGATTCTGGACTGATGGCACAGCCCCCTGAGTGTGACTACTGTCAATTAGGTTATTTCCATACAGAAATAAGTCCCTGTCACCATTATCCCCGCCCCCATACCACCCCTGCTGAAGTTCACTGATTTCCTTTTGCCGCTTACGCTCCAGATAAATATTTCCTTCTGAACTTCTGAAGCCACTGCTTCAAGGTTCTCATTTCCCTTAACGCGTTTCCTCTTGGTTCCACTGAAAAGCCTCTCTTTGCCCTTCCCCTCTGCCTCTGGGGGCTAAGCCAGCTCTTAGTCCTTGGCTCTGTGTGGCAGAGTCTGGCCTTTCTCACTGTGTCTCTCTTCTCTCTCAACTGCAAACAGAGGGGGCTTGAGCCAGGTCCCAAGCCCCAGGAAGGTTCTGAACTGAGGGCACCCTACAGATGTGTAAACATTTTACCTTGCTCACCCAGCTAGCCGCCTTCCAAAGGCAACAGGAAAACCAGGGACGAAGGCAACAGGAAAGCCAGGGACGGGAGAGCCCCTGGCAAAATAAAAAACCTGCAGAGAGAGAGAGTAAAAGAGAGAAAGAGGAAAAGGGGATCCTGTTTCAGAGGTTAATTTTCTCATTAGAAGAATTTTCTCTTTAAGGGGGAGGGTTTGCCAGGGGAGCAAGAGAAGGGAGCTCAGAGGTGGGAGGGGGAGACCAAGCGTGGCGGCTCCAGGAACTTTGCTCTCACTGATCCTCGTGGCAAGAAGCAACACATAGAGCTGGGGTAGCTCGTTCCAAATCTGGAGTCAGAGGTTCTGCTTCGGAAGGGTCCATGGGGAGGTAGCTTTTCACACTCAGCGTCCTGACAGCAGCTAAGCAGATGTGATTCGTGATTTCTAAGGAGGCTTTGCCAGTGGCTCTGGGGAGGACTCATGCTTTCTTTGAGCCTTCATCCTACCAACTCTTGCTGCATTAGTCAAGATGCCTTCAGGGTGCCTGCTCTCTTTGGCCTTTCTGTATTTTGTTTCTTGTCATATCCTACTTGGTATCGTTGGTATCACTCCCAGACTCACCAGCGTCTTAAAAATGAGCTCCCACTTGGACGGCTACTGTATGCCAAGGATGGCGTATCCACTGTGTCTCTTGAGTATGACAGCATGCTGGAAGGGAGATCTACGCAAGAGAAGGAAGACCTGCAGAAGTGATGGGAGGTTGCCCCGATGTTCGACTTAGTAACTCATCAGAATGACTCCTAGTCCAAAGATCCTGCTCTTTCTGTGGTACCAAGAACACACCCTCTCTTCTGACTCTAATAAAGACCTAAGTTAGGGCCTTTGATTCTGTTTGTCCTTTTTCCTTCTCTGGCTCTATTTGGAATCCTTCCCGTGCTCCTTCTTGAGACATTTGCTGAGCGCCTGCTGTAGACAAGGAATGGTACAAGGTCCTAGGCAGGGGACAGATGGTCCAGCCAGAGTTCTCCCTTTCAAGAACCCTTCCATCTAGGGGGACTCCAAAACCAGAGAGCAAATGTCTAGTTGCCTTAAAGTAAAATGAGTTGAGAGAAAAGATGAGCATTCTTTACAGGGCTGTCATGGAGAGCTTCTTGGAAGAGGTCGTTTCTGTTTTAGTGGTAGAGAAAACCTGGAAACACAGAGAAGCAGACTTCGACCAGGCATGCGAGGGGAAACTCATTCAGTCCCCTCCTTCACCAGATAGAGAACCAAGACCCCAAAGAGGTACTTAGTGCTTCACCAAGGTTGCCCAGCCAGTGAGAGCAGGTTGACTTTGTGAGGCGACCCCAGCCATTGCCTAAGGGACTGTTGGGCAGGGAGTGGGAGGAGGGGTATAGGCGGACTCAGATGCCAGGCCAAAACTGTCCTCTGCATCAGATGCTAACAGAGATTTACACAGGTTCTGAGGCCCTGGTACAAAGGAGCAGAGAGCCTGTGGGCCTCCTCCATTGATTTTGCTGGAAGCTCTCCATGCTCGTTGATGAACGCTAATGGCAGATGCAAGCTCAAAGTTACGGTGACCGCACAGGTCTCCAGCTCAGAGTAGGGACTGTCCTCCTAAATGAACATCTTATATTCATTCTCATCTCCTTCTCTTTCTCCTCCCACCTGGCCTCGTACATCATCCCACACTTAAAACACACTGTTAATTAGAAAGTCCTCTTCCCCATCCAACGGCCTGTCTGTGCCAAGGACACTGGGTGTATTCCAGAAAAGCTGAGGAATGGGGGTTGGTGATTATAAGGATAATTCGATCCAGAGAGAATCTGCTAAGTGACTTCCTGGGGTTCCCAGAGTAAGTCTAGAGACATCAGCCATGGGACCTTTCTGAACACCCAACTTGTGCCCCCCCCCGCAAGCAGTTGGAGTGTTCTAGATCCCTGGTGGCTTTGGTGGGGGAGAAGGAAGCACCCACAGAGTAGTGCACAGGGTGATGAATGCCAGGGTCTGATGGATGGAGGATCCACTGACCAGCCAGTTGACCTTTAACCCATCCACCTCTTTGCTTTCTTGAGAATCTTGCGTCTGTTAACGTCATCGCCATAAGGGTGTTATGTGGATTAAATGAATTCACACACAGACCTTAGTACAATACAGAGGCTTGGATGATTTTAAGTAATGAAGGAGTCCCCCACATCTTTTATGTTAAGAGGATGCTTTTCATTTCATCCTTTTGCAAATACTAATATTAGTGTCGGAGAAAAGCAAGCTGAGTTGGGTCTCAGAAACTTGTCATTGACTCTGTGTAACCTGACAAATGCCTTTCATTTTCCGGGTCTGAGATCCCTCACCTGTCAAGTGAAGAAGTTGGAAGCAGTGATCTTTAAAAATCTTTCCAGCTCAGACAGTAAGCATGTCTGCCTTTCTCTGGGGCTGGATTTCAGGGCTAGCCAGGACGGCCTCCTGTTAGAAGGTAGAAGCATTAGCTTTGTGGCCCCTGACTCTTGCTTCTCTGGGCCAACTTTGCTAACTGGCCATCTGATGATGGCCAGAGGTGATGTGTGCCCAAGGTTTTGGCAGCCATAATAGGGGTGCTCCTTCTCAATGAGCATCTTCTACTCATTACTAACCCCACACCCCATTCTCCTCTTGCCTCATATATCATCCCACACTTAAAATGCCCTCTTGGTTATTTTTTAATTTTGGGGGGGATTTATTTATGTATTTGAGAGAGAGCGAGCATGTGCATGAGTTGGGAGAAGGACAGAGACAGGATCCCAAGCAGACTCCCTGCTGAGCACAAAGCCTGACAAGGGGCTCAGTCTTACCACCCATAAGATCATGATCTGAGCCGAAATCACAAGTTGGATGCTTAATCAACTGAGCCACCCAAGTGCCCCTAAAATACCTTCTTTTTAAAAAACATTTTAAAAATCTCTTTATTTGATAGAGAAAGAGATTACAAGGAGGCAGAGAGGCAGGCAGAGAGAGGGGAAGCAGACTCCCCACCGAGCAGAGAGCCTAATGCAGGCCTCCATCCCAGGACCCTGAGATCATGACCTGAGCTGAAGGCAGCGGCTTAACCCCCCGAGGCATCCAGGCACCCCTAAAATACCCTCTTTATTATAATATCCTCTTCCCCTCCAACAATCTTGCAAAATCAAAGGTGTTTAGATTTCCATTGTTGTTATTGTTGGTATTTTCTTAGCCCAAGTACCCATTCTACAAACCGAAATCTTTCCTGTATGTTCCATGTTCAGAACCAATGAAAGTGAAACCACTTGGGCTCACATAGTGGGGAGAACCCCCTACCAAAACCAGTTCCTCCTGTTCCTCTAGCCCTTATCTTGTCCTAAGTCTGGTCCCAGAGGGTTCATTAAGAACTAGAGGACCCTGCAGGGCACAGTTTGCGAACCGCTGGTCTAGGACATCCTCATACTAGTTTTAACAGAGAGAAGTAACTGAGTGCCCTCTTCCATCCTTTACTGACGCCTCTCTCTCTCTCTTTGGGCCACATAGGGCTGTATGACAAATGTTCTTATACCTCACGTGACCGAGGATGGGTCGTGGGAATTCACACCGTCAGTGACCAAGGCAACAGAGACCCACGCTACTTTTTCTCCCTGAAGACAGACCGAGCCCGGCAAGTAACCACCATCAATGCCCACCGCAGCTACCTCCCAGGCCAGTGGGTGCACCTAGCTGCCACCTATGACGGGCGGCTGATGAAACTCTACGTGAACGGTGCCCAGGTGGCCACCTCGGGGGAGCAGGTGGGCGGCATCTTCAGCCCATTGACCCAGAAGTGTAAAGTGCTCATGTTGGGGGGCAGTGCTCTGAATCACAACTACCGGGGCTACATTGAGCGCTTCAGTCTGTGGAAGGTGGCCCGGACTCAGCAGGAGGTACTGCTCGACATGGAAACCCATGGCCTCCACGCGCCTCTACCTCAGCTCCTCCTCCAGGAGAACTGGGACAACGTGAAGCACACCTGGTCCCCCATGAAGGATGGCAACATCCCCCAAGTGGAGCTCAGCGGTGCCCACGGCTTCCTGCTGGACACAAGTCTGGAGCCTCCATTGTGTGGGCAGACATTGTGTGACAACATGGAGGTCATTGCTAGCTACAACCAGCTCCCGCGATTCCGCCGACCCAAGGTGGTGCGCTACCGCGTGGTCAACCTCCATGACGACAACCATGAGAACCCCACGGTGAGCCGTCAGCAGATCGACTTCCAGCACCGGCAGCTGGCCGAGGCCTTCAGACACTACAACATCTCCTGGGATCTGGAGGTGCTCGAGGTGAGCAACTCCTCCCTGCGCCACCGCCTCGTCCTGGCCAACTGCGACATCAGCAAGATTGGGGATGAGAGCTGCGACCTCGAGTGCAACCACACGCTGACTGGCCACGACGGCGGGGACTGCCGCCACCTGCGCCACCCTGCCTTCGTGAAGAAGCAGCACAACGGGGTGTGCGACATGGACTGTAATTATGAACGGTTCAACTTTGATGGCGGAGAGTGCTGCGACCCCGAAATCACGGATGTCACCAAGACTTGCTTCGACCCTGACTCTCCACACAGGTAAGACCTGCCAGGCAGGTGGTGCCCAGCTGTGAGCTGACTTGGTCCCCTCAGCATTGCATAGGCGAGGTGCCTGAGAGCCCTAGGGGTTCCAGAACTTTGCAGATTTTCTGGTTTGCACGGTAGCTTGGTGACTGAGGCCAACCTCTTACACATCTCTTGTGGGGACGATATGCAAAGTTAGCCCACCAAAACAGTATTCGCTGAGCCCCCGCTGTGGGCTATGAAAGAGGACAACCCTGTCTTCTTAAAGAGCTCAGAGTCAAAACTGGGTAATGTGAGTCACGTAATGGGTAACTGTCATAACGCACGTGGTAGAGTGGGGGTACAGTGCGTTCCCTAGTCCACTGTGACTGTTTAAATTAGTTGAGATTAAATAAATTTAAAATCTGGCCTGAGTCCCATAAACTACATTTCACGACCTCAGCAGCCTCATGGGCTCTAGTGGCTACCATGCTGGACAGAGCATCATGGAACACGCTTCCCGGCCGAGTGCTCGTTCTGTGGCACTGTGCTGGTAAATCCGGGGTCAGCTGGGTCGCACAGCCTGGGTTCGGGTCTCAGCCATACTGTTTCCTCGCTCTGTGACCTCTTAGAAGCCATGCCTTCCTCTGTAAAATGGGAGCGATAACAGCACCTGCTTTGTGAAGCTGCTCTGGAGATGGAGAGGGGGCGTGTAGCGCATGGTCTCCCTGCTCGTGGCTGGCCAGCCATGAGGTCTCAGTAAGCATATTTGTCCTTACTTGTGTCAGGAAGGTGCTGTGTGCTGTGCGCTGTGTTTAGGGAGTGCCAAGGGAGTTCAAAGAGAAAAAAAACTGACTTGGCACTCAAATATCTCCAGAAAATCTACAGTCTGGTTTGGACGTCCAAGATTGGGTTGGGGGAGAGAGGAGGGCACTCTGGGCAGAAGGACATGTCATCCACTGCAGAGAAAAGGGCAGAAAGGGGACACTTCTGTCCAAGGCTTCCCTTAGCCTCTGCTTACACTGTCAACTCTAAACAGCACCCCCAAGGAAAAGCCCAGAGGTGAACCCGTGGTGATCTATATTCAATATGGGACTCAGAGGAACTAGTTCTAAGCCAGAGAGACAGTCAGCATCCACTTTCCTCATCTCCCAGATTCACGCTGGACTTTTCCATTCTGTCCAGCGCACAGGACCCTGGACTTGCTGATAGCTTGAGCACACTTGCCGACCTCTGCAGGTTTTCTGCTGACTCTTCTCTTTATGTCTCTCTCAAAAAAGCAAGGGCCTCCCATGCACAGACAAAATACCTATGTGCAAAGGAATGGCGATGCTGGCAGGAGAATGTCGTGCCTGGCAGCAAGCCAGAAAGCACGTCAGCTCAGCCTGCTGGCACCAGGCGGGCCCTGGACTCCCACCTTGTTCAGAGACACAAGCGGCCCAAGTGGGAAGAAGCCTTGCTGTGTGGCTGGTTCCTTCCAGGTCACAATGCACTTTCATCTCTGCTCTCCTTTGGGCTTTGACAGAATTTGGTAAGGAAGGCAAGACAGGGGTTAGTATTTGCATTTGACTGACAGAGAGCTAGAAGGGCTGAGTGGAGGCAATGACTCCGCCAAGGTCATGGGTCAGGAGAGTCATTCAGCTAAGTCACAAATGCAAGTCTCTGAGATTAAGGCAGCATGTGCTCTACAGAGCTGGACTCCCAGGACGTACCTGCGTGCTCAGGCAGAGTGGGCACGGAGGAGGGCAAAGTGCCACGGATAGCTGCACGTTCATTTGTTCCTTCATTCCTGCTTTCATTCATTTGCTCATTCATTCATTCATTCATCCATTCCTACAACAATTGCTTCTTCAGCACCAGGAGGGTGGGTACCCTTAGCCCTATAGTGCCGCAAGAATTTCAGGATCCAGACTGACCTAGGGATTTAGCCAAGGTCACTCAACTAATAAATGGAGAGCTCGGACTCACATCCAGGTCACATCCACATCTAAAGCTCCCACTGAAGGGAAGGATTTTTAAGTCTGAGAAGCAGTAAGAGGCAGAGTTGAAGGGCAGGGTTGGTAGGCAGGGCGCCTTCACAGGGCCTTGGGGGAAAACTGCTGAGTTGATTGGGTCAGGACTGAGGGCAGCCAGCACTGTCCTGGTATGGAGGGGCCGTGGGGCCCCATCCCAGATACCTCACCATCAGCAGACAGAGTTGGCAGCCTCCAACGGCCTCCCCTTTTCTAAGTCACGGGACTGCCTGCCCAGAATGTCCGGGAACAGCTGTGTGCCAGCTCTGTGACCACTCACGCCAGGGCACTTGTTTGCCAGCTGGGAAAGTCATGAGCCCCGGGTGAGCCCCATCAGGCAACATGTCATCTCCTGACGGGGCCGGGGATGACGGTGTCCAGGCTGTTTTGGCTTTCCTGTGCGCAGAGAGGAACCTGGGGACGTTTGCAGAGAAATATTTGCTTTGTGACTTTAAGAAAAGGGAGGGAAGGATGGAGGGAGGGAGACAGAGAGAAAGGAGGGAGGGAGGCGGGCACCTTTAGTAGAAGCGGTGAAAATTTGATTGACGTTATCTAGGTGATTTTTAATAAAGAGCTGAACTTCATTCTCATCAGGGTCCTCTCTCCCTCCCTCCCTCCCTTCCTCCCTCTTTCTCTGCCCTCCTCTCTCTTTTTCTCTCTTAATGGGTAAAGATAATAAAAGTATTGAATACTTCTCAGTCTATGGTAAGGCACCAGTTTTGGTTGTTTTTTTCTCCCCTGTATATTGCAAACCAATACCTTTGAAATATACAGCAAAAAATGAATCCATAGACAATGAAATACCACCAGAGTGTCAGTGTCGGAGTTCTTGAAAAGTTTCTCCATTCCTGCATGCGCTTCGCCAAAGCAGTCCGTGCCCTGCCCCCCTTGAGCGGCACTGATTAAAATTCGCTGTTCTGACAATTTACGTAGCGATTCCCTTGAGTATAATAAGATTCCTAGTAATGGAGCTGGGCAGATGGGTGAATTCTGTCAGAGAAGTGTATCTTTTAACATGTTTGGACTCCAGGAGAGCACCTAATCCTAGGTCAAGTGTTGGACCTAGAAACATCCTCAGAGATCATTGGTCCAAGCCCCTTCTGCCCTATAGAGGGAAACAGAGACCAGAGCTCACACTGTCCATTAGTAGTCACACTAGAGATAAGGTTGCTCTGGATTTCTGACTCCTGGTCATCTGCGGTGACACAGCTGTCCAGGACTGCCCTGACATTCTGGACAGTCACACGTCCCTGCCCCTTCCTGTTCTATTCTCACTCTCCCCAATTATCCCCGAGAGCTTGGGATTATGGAGTGCCTGAATGAGTGAGTTTGGAAGAGAAGCTGATAATGGCCTTGGGCTTCCATGAACCCCTGTAGAACCATCAGAGCTATCTTGGCGGCCAGTTTTCCTTCTTAAGGGTCTAGAATAACAGCAACCAGTGGAGGAAGCACCAAAAAAAAGCGGGGGGGACTGGACAGTGAGAGGCAGGAGCTTGTATCATAACCATGTGAAGATGTTTGGCACGATGAGCAACTTCTCCTGGGGCCAAGACTATAGGGCGACGGTATACACACTTCAAGTCTCCAAGGGCCTGTCCTGTAGGAAAGGGAGCAGAATTCCTCTATATGGTTTCTAAGCCCTGGCTGGAACCAGAGTGTTGTAATTATAGGCGGCAGCTCAGAGCTGAGTAACAGATGATGTCATCCCCCCTCAGAGCGATGCTCCTAGGGGAGCACCTCTCTGCGGGTGAGTGAGCACTCCGTCACCTGAAGCATGCACAGCGAGGATCGTGGCAATGCTGTAGAGAGTAGCCTTGATGGGCTTGGGGTTGAGCCCAGCATAGCCTGACTTTTTGCTGCTATCTTCCTCCAGTCATGTTAATGGAACCACACAGTAACATTTGCAAACAGACATTTCTTGGGTCTGTGCATCCCTGCCTGGCCCTCTGCTCTTCACTGGGGATGCTGGAAGGGGTGGGAGGCACTCCTCACCATTAAGGAGCTTTCATTTTGGTGGGGGAACCATATTCACCCAAAAGAAACTCTGATCCATGACACGCAGTGGGACAGAGCTCTGGAAGGCAGAGATCTGCTTGGACAAGGAGGACAACGTGCGTTGGCTGGCGGAGGCATGCTTTGAGGGCAGCTGGAGATGGGCAACACTTTCAGAGGTAGAGATGCAGGCTGCATAGGCCAGATCCTGGCAGAAAACAGGTGATACATTCAAACGGAACAGTTAAGGAGAGTTGAAGGAGGGATACATTGGAAGGAGAAGCTATCTACAACAGGGTAGGCAGACCTTGACAATTGCCAAGGCCAGAGTCAGCAACAGTGGAGAGCCATTTGTATCCTTGGTCTGGAGGGACAAGAAGAGAGAGTGGTTCGGGAACCTAGAGAGTGACTGTGTGCAGAGGACCCCTGGGCAGAAGCCGTGACTCTCCCTAAAGAGGGGTGGCCAACCTCCTGTAGCCCCCAGGCCAGAAGGGAGCCTGGAGAGTAAATGCTACATTGTCATTCCCTTCTGCTTCCCTGTCTTCTTCTAGAAGCCACAGGACAAAGGAACCCACAGATGCCCCCCAGTGAGGCCAGTCTCCCAAGGGCACAGAGCAGGGTGGAGAGGGATGGATGGTGGAAGTGGATGGGCAAACAGCATGTGCAGAACATGGAGAAAGCCCATGCAGAGGGTACGAGAGAAGCAAGGAGACAGGAGGGGAGGAAGCGCTTGGAGAATGAGTCTTCAGTATGGCCGGGACCCAGATGTAAGCAGGGGAGGGTCTACTTTATCTCCTGGCAAACTAATGTCAAGCTAAATCCTTCCTTCCTCCTTCTCTCCCTTTCTTTATTTCCTTCTGCCTTTTCCTCCCTTCTCTTCCCCCTCCCCTCCTCTCCAGTTGCTTTCCCTTCCTTTATTTCCGTCCCTTTCTTTCTTCTTTTCCTCTCCCAGTAAATGTTTGTTGAATGCTCCCTCTGTGCCGGCCCAGCCCCTGCCTTTTGGAGCTCCCCATCTAGTGGAAAAGACAGACA